GGTTGTTAATAAAATATTATCGATAATATATGATGATTTTACAAAACTAACCTTAACTTTTCAAAACATATTCTTCAACGGGTATTGATGTGTGTTGGGGGTATTATTGTCTCAAAAATATGTTGATCTCCTTTCCCTTCCCCATTAATCATGAAAACCACCTAATTTTTTGTAATCCCAACAGTAACTTCTCTTTATAAAATACTTTATCGGTAAACCTTGGATATCCGAGAATTGATTTTTAATACTTCTACCAAATATGATAATTGACGATTACCAAAAAAGGTTTACCAGTAATCGTTGTGATACCCTTGTACCAAACACACCCTCAATGTCAATCTTTGGCAGCTTCCTTCCCTACCTGATTCACATGGTCTTAAGCAGACACCAAGGAGTTTAAAGATGGAATTTCCAACTTGCAACAGCTACAAATATGGATGTTTGAACATCTCAACCTGGTTCAAGAAAAGTTGTATTCTCTCAGTACATAATCATATTGCAAATTTTTTGAGTGATTGGCATATATAGTATGTTGACAATATCAAGTACTTGGGTGACACAACCAAATAACCAATTACCAGTATGAAGCTAAGGTTACTTATAGAAACTTAAATAAAAGTTCAGTCTTCTTTGCCTTCCCCAGCCTTAGAAAGGGAAAATAGAGCTGAAAAGGTAACTAAAAGAGAACTGAAAGTGTTACAAAATATAGAATACATTTCTGATGACACCCGTATTCTAGTTGAATATCAACAATGTCACGTTGAAACCCATCATAAATAAAGGTGCAAAATATCATTTCCGTTGCCGGGACTTGAACCCGGGTCTCTCGGGTGAGAGCCGAGTATCCTAACCAACTAGACTACAACGGATTTGACATTCCGTGAACAGATATATAAGAATTTTATATTGTTATAGAGCTCGCAAATCTAAATTATCCTGTCAGCAGGGGAAATTCTGCTGACGTGGGCAATCGCTCTATTTTTGCAGAATGCAGATACAAAAATCAAATATTGCTTTGGAAGGCTAATGTTGAATGAGGGATAGGGAAACAAAGTTAAAATTATATGAATATTAGTTATTCATTTGATGGCAAATGCTTTATCATTGGATAAATTTTATGAAGGTGTTATAAAAAAAAAATTAAACTCACTTTATATTGAGTAAGTTTATATGAAATTTTATTAAAAATATATACCATCATTCATCATCTTTTACCAATTTATTACTAATAATCTCCAAACAAGGGACACACGCAAGGTGCAGTACATCAAAATCAATTTCCAAGCAAACAAAAGGTCTAATTTACGAGAGAAATTTTAGTACATCCGTTGTATCTCATTGGGTACTCATTTTTTTCAATTTTGGAAAAAAAATTCCATTCTACTCCTTTTCTTTATTTTCATTTTCATGTAAGTCCACAAAAACTTTTTTCTTTTGGACAGATGCACCATACATCGGATGTATCGAAGATTTTTCCGTAATTTACACCCCAGCAGCTCACCATGTTTTCTATGCATAAATGTTCTGACTCAGTGGTAAAGTCAATTTATTAATAATATTTTGACGTAACAAGAAAAATTAAACCAATGAATAAAATGAGCTATTTGATACATCTTCAATCTAAACTCCCTTGAGCTTCATTTAGGGTGTGTTTGAGAGTTTGGAGAGAAAAGAAAGAAAGGAGAGAAAAATGAAGGAGTTAAAAATATAATAAGAAAGAAAAATTGAGAGTTAATGAGATATTTTTATAATTTTATCCTTTCTTAAAAAATTAATATAATTTTTATATTTTACAAATGAAATAAAATTTAATTTTTTTAAAATTATTTATTAATTTTTACATTTAAAAAATAATTCTCCCTTTAAAAACAATGAATTATGTTATGTGGTTTACAAACATATAAGAGTCCCGGCAAGAAACACATATTCTATTTGAGGTATAATTAGCCATTCCCTTCTAACAGTATTTTAGTTTCAATTTAATACATAACGTAATTGTGTTAGAAGACAGCTATGTTGATGACTTATTGAAATTTAAATCATGCTAGAACAGTGGCGACCCAGGAAAAAAAATTTATGTCCGCACAATCAGTGGCGGGGTTCGGGGGCAGCGCCCCAGAATTTTTTTTTTTATATAAAAGTTTAAATCAACGCTTGAACCCGCTCATAATCTAGTTGCTTCCATAACAAGCTGCAGACAATAGTTTGACCAATTATTTTCCCCCTAAATCTTATCAATCCTTCAAAACAAATATGAGAATATACTCCAGTACATCCATACATCATCATTCTATTTTGGGATATGTTATTTTACCTAACATTTTTCTGCCTACCTTTGTCTACCACTCTCCAATACCGTTAGATCAAAATCTCAAGAAGAGAGAAAAAGATAAATGTTAGTTAAGATTCTGATCTAACGGTGTTGGAGGGTGGTAGGTAGAGGTAGGCAAAAAAATGGTAAGTAGAATAACCTATCCCTTCTATTTTATAGTGGTGAATAAAAAAGTTAACACTACCTATACAGAAGTAAAACAAAATCACAGTGAAGGTCTCGTCTCTAGATATTAACTTATTTGAGAATGTCAGACCTACAATCAATCATCTCTTTTTATAAAAATAAAAAAGGAAACAAAGGATGAAGAGAACGTGGAAATGAGTACGTGACAAGGGAGGAAGAATAAGTTTTCTTTCTAATCAATGTGCGTTGTTGCGTTGTTTTAATCATCTTCGTACGTTGTTACGTTGCTAACTAATATAAGAATAAATATCCTTTTTGGTCCCTAAAAAAAATTTGGTCCTCACTTTAGTCCATTATAAAAAAAAATTAGTCACCTGATCCCTATGGACCCACTTTGGTCTTTCTGTGGGACTAGTGTAGGTCTTTTTTGAATTTGTGATGGACCACGATTTTAATTAAATTGATCTACTTTAAATTTTTTAAGGACCTCGAGACTATTTTTTTTTTGTAAAGGACTAAATTGAGAATCATGTTTTTTGTTAGGGACTTAAAAAATTATTTACTCCTAATATATATATTGAATCAAGAGACAAATAACAATCTACAAAAAAAAAAAAAAAAAATTAAAATCAAAAAGTTTATGACCGCACTTGCGGGCATTTGCCCGCAAGTGGGTCCGCCAATGTGCTAGAAGATTACTTATGGTAACTCACTTGATATTAGGAAATTGAGCATGTGGGATGAGAGTATGTGTTCAATTATTCACAATATTATTTTTGAAAAGAGTTTAAAGCTTTAATCCCGGAATCCATCTCGAACCGAATTAATTATAAAGTAATAAATCGATTAAAATATCTCAAAAAATAAAATAAAATGGTGAACGTGATAAATGAGTATTCTTATTATTGAATTTTACATCAAGATGATCTAATATTTTGAAGGTTGAATACACAACAAGTTTTCGACCATAACTATAGTTAAAATGATAATATTTAGTTGTCTACTTTTACGAATTAAATCAGCAAATATAAACTACCTTACCTTTTAAATGATGTAGCGCCCACTTAAATATATACGGAATCGATCACCACAAAAACCTAATGAACTGATAGTTTAAAATTTACAAGACATCGACCCAATGTACTTAAAATATGTATTTAATAAGAATTAATGCATACAATAGTTAATTTTTAGAAACAATACACCAAAATTTCCATTACTAAAGCACAAATTTAAAAGAAGAAAATACAAAATCAAGGTTTATTTACCGTCTAATGAAAATATAAAACAAAAAAAAATAAAAATAAATTCTATTTAAACCGTTATAGATTTATTAAATTGGATCATATAGAAATTTACAACAGAAACGATTGGGTGCTAAAATAAGAAAATTGTATAAAATTTTCTCACCAATATCGATGCAATTAAATCCGCAAACATTCCCAAAAAGCACATTGGTATTTTTTCTTCTATCATGCATGTGATTGAGATAAAATCATTACATTTAGCTGCATATATTTTTACAAGATTAAATATACATCAAAGTACTCGAAACTGACGAATGCTGAGTTATCCTCCTATTATATTCGCTTGGTTAATTATAAATTAAGCATGTTGAGGCCCTGCCTCACCCTCACCTACTTATTAAATTACGATCAAAATATCTTTAATGGAAACGTAGACATTTATACATTCAATAAATAAGATATATTATTAAATTGGATCTCAATTAACTTTTTTGTCATAGCTTCCTTGTTTCATAATGCAATCACGAGACGAAAGCAATTCAGAATCACACAATTTATTATTGGTTTTATAATTCTCATTTAACATGAGAATTTAAATTTTCTTATACACTATTTAATTTTCGTACTGACATGGATTCTACATATAATTTTTTTTAATACCTGAGTCTCACATGCTTTTTATCTCTAGAACATGAGAATTGAATTCTCATTTAACATGAGAAAATCAAACCCCTTTATAATTTTAATAAATGAATGACAAACTTGTATGATAAGTAAAGAAATTAATGTTCAATATTAAGTGACATATGCGTAGTTTGCTTTTAAAAGGAACTTGTCAGTTTTGATAATTACTTTCGGCCATTTATTGCCGGCTGCAATCGGCAATTTTTTTCTCCTAAAATATTTTAATATTATTTAAATAAAATATAAAAAAATGATTTTACAAATACTAAACCTTAAACCAATCAAAAGACAATATTATGTAGAAAAACTGAGAGTCAAACCAGGGGCTTGATAGTCCATTTAAATTTATGTTCGACGTTTTCCTTCTTCGCACACCAAGATTGAAGAACATGGACACATGACAAGGACCAAAGAAAAAACCTGTAAAAGGGGCCAATGAATCTGCAAAAATAACTAAAATTTCATCAGTTGAAATTTTTTAGAAATTTACTGTTGTAAAGAAACTTTTCTCTTTTTCTTTCTTATTAATTTATTTTCCTATTCATAGAGGACGGACACAACAAAATAGTCAATTCTATGCAGCTTTCAATTGTTTAATGTTGAAAGAGGGTGTTGCGCAAAAACCAGATGAATTAGAAAAGAAGCAGCAATTGCTTCTCAAGCTGAACACCAATCAAATGCAAAGAGCCTTTTTTTTTTTATAATTATTTTCAGTTCCTTTCTTTCTTCTGATCAGTGGGACTTCTTGTTGCTCTATTCCAAGGCTAGTATCTCTTTGATTTCTCAATTTTCTGTTTCCTTTTTTAAATGGGAATTCCATTTTTCCAGCTTATACAGAAAAAAGTTTTTTTTTTTTTTTTTTTTCTTGATGATTGCGGTAGATCAGAGATTTTTGTTTCTTTTGGTTGTTGCCCATTACTTTTTTTGGTATGTTCTTACATGTATTGTTCAATCCAAGCTGCATGTAATAGAATTTCAATGGGTTTTATGTGAGCTGAAATTCTGAATTGGGAGATGTTCTTATTAGCTTAATGTGGAGGTTTTTCAACCTTGGATATCCATTGCAGTACAATGCAGGATTAGTATCTTAATTAACAAGTTTGGGGTTATAGAGGAGAACAGTTGTGTTGATTTAAATATGTAGGTCTGATACATATTAAACCTTACAATCAAAAGCCTCCTGCTTCTACCGGGAGCCAAGAACAAAGGTTGTTTTTGTAACATATTGGTATATTACAATTCTGATGCTGTCTGAAGGATAAGTAGAATTTTCCAATTCCTCAAAACAACTTCAAATCTGAAAAGATTAATGTACTTGCCCTAGTTTGGTAAGGACACTTATTTATGCTTCTTGTAGAAAAGAAAACATTCAAAGTCATCGACCAATATGCCCATATCTTGCAAGACTTGGATATTCTTTCTTTTTTGTTCTGCTTCTAAGAGGAAACATGCTGGTCTTACAAATCATCTTTTTATCTAATATGGTGGATTTTGAAAAACAGGGATTTTGAGTGTCATTTGAAAAGCAGGAGGCCTGAGCGTGCAGACTAACTCCACAATCCATGGATAAAGGTACTCAAAAGTTTTTCTTATTATCAACTAACTAATTCCTATGGATATAAGTACAATTGCATATGCTTATTAGATTGTAAATGGTACTTGATTATGTATCTCTTCTTTCCAATATACATAACATCCTGTCATGAATTGTCTATTCTGACCCAGATACTGATCCTTGAAAGTTATAAGTCAGTGCATAGAATTTATTGAAACAATATTTATTGAATAAATGAATAGTGTGTTGGTTAGCACCAGTACGACATGCAGGAGAAATTTGAATTTTGAACAACATTGATCTACATGCTTTCAAGCATTATCTCATAGTGAGGATTAATCCTCCATCTGATACAGAAAGAGGAAATATATTTATAATATGCATGCACCACATAAATTAAAGGTTTAAGGTTGATTTAGTCCTTATAGTTTTCACCAATTTGCGTTTTGGTCCCGATAGTATTTTTTTGGGTTTTAGTTCCTATATTTTCACTTATTTGGGTTTTTGGTCCCTACCATGAAGGTATTAGCCCCAATATTTTCCACTCATTTGGGTTTTATACCCTGTAATTTCCTATTCATTAAGTTGTCAGATCCCTATTTTCGATGATGATTTGATCCTTATAGTTTAACTTACTAAGATATTGGTCCTTAGGGACCTAAACCTTAGTGGTAAGAAATACCAGGAAAAAAAAAAATGTATCAATATATAAGGACTAAAAACTAAACAAGTGAAAACTATATGGCCCAAAATCTTATTTAAACATAGATTAAATTATCAAGGAAAGCATGGTTTTCCATGGGAACAGGCTTTGTCACGTCTACTTGGAAGGTTGATATGCTTGTAGACTTTCCACTATGAGAATACAACTGCATTCATGATATAGGGCCATCTGAAACTCAAGAAGAAACAATTCAACTCCATGCACTTGCCATGAAATGGTATTTCCTTTGGTGTTGCAGATGCTAGGGTGGAAGAGACTGTTGGTTTGAGAAACAATGTGGAATTGGGGAGATCAGTCTCCGATAAGCATCTTGATCTTTTAAGGCCATCTGCTCGGAATTATTCAAGAGGTAACAATATTAATGATATGTCAAACCTGGAATGTCAAACAAATAGCAAAATCATTTGAAATTCTAATGATTTTTCATTTCGTTTCCAAGTATTTCATTTATAACTTACTTGCATTGTTTACTATTATAAAACCTTTCTACCAAATTGGATCTGTTAGAATGCAAGGATTAGTATGCTGATGGCTCCAGTGAACTTGTATCATCCTTCTTTTCTTTTTTTATTTAGGGAGGGGATGCAGCAAGAGATATATGTTACTGAATAATTTATCTTAATATGGTACATCTAATGCAACTTTCTTTGTTCTTCATGGCATTTTCAGTGGCATTTAATTTCCATTTCCATTATATTGATAAAGATAAGTCCCTTCATAATCTTACCCTTTGTCCTTTGAGTACAATCTCAGGGTCCAATTTTCCCCTTTACTAGAGTTTAAAGAACTTTCTCTACTATGTATTATGTATTATGAAAAATATGCTAATAAATTTTGGCCAAACAGCTCCTCCTCCTTGAAAAATAAGGTCCTGGACAGGGGTTGGATAACATGTTCAGTAATAATGCAGAATATTGACTTGTTAAAGACAGCAGTGGCAATCGAATTTTCTTTTTCTTACAAAAAATTTCTTTTCATTTCAACCTTTTTTTTTCTTCTTCTGAAATATTTATAATTTTTATGGCCATGGCAGGACAAGCAATGGATGCAACAGGCCATGAAAAGGGAAAGTATACCTTAATTAGAGATCCAGAAGACTTCCAAATGGGAATTTATGATAAACCCCTTCCATATTTTGGTTGTGGAATTGGATGGTTCTCGTAAGTAATTTTACTCAACTCTCTTCCTCAGTTTCATCATCATGTCTCATGGCTTTGTCTGTTAAATTGCAGGTTTCTTTTTGGATTTCTATGCCCTCCTATGTGGTACTATGCAACAATACTCTATTTCGGAAATCACTATCGCAAGGATCCTAGGGAACGGGCAGGGCTGGCAGCCTCTGCAATTGCTGTAATCTCTCTCCCCTTTGTCTCTGCTCTATTCCTTTCTATTTGTCTCTCTGTGTGTTTGTTTGTGTCTGTTTGCTCATGCATGCATTTGCAAATGTTACCATTGTGCACTAGAATAAGTTCAGTCAAATAGGATTGCTTTGAGCAGAGTCCAATAATTCCATGGATCAAACACACTTTTTATGAACATGAACCATTTAAGTAACAAGCCGAATGACTAACTTGATCAAAGCAGAATGAGCTTCAACAGCTATAAACAGTGAGGATTGCTTTCAACATTGTTGTAGTTATTCATGTCATCCAAGTTCATTTTCCGTTTTGCAGCAGATATTACGTATTATTTGTATTTCACTTTGCTTCATTGATGTCTAAATTGGCATGGTGATTAACTTGCAGGCATTAGTGTGCTCTATAGCTTTGCTGACAATTGCAGCAATTCTTCTGTTAAAATCGCCGTCCCTCTAAGTCAAATTAAAGTGTAAAAGTGAAAGTTGAGAAGAACATTTGGAAGCAATTCTGACGAGATATCAGAAACAATGGGAAAAAGAGCTTGCACATTGTTGGTGAAGCAAATCACAAGAAGAAATCTGTCGTCTATACCACAAGTTGAGAGAAGGATGATCCGTCATAGCCCTTAATGATGATTTCTGAACTGATGTATGCTCAAAATAACTCTCATGATTAGTGTTCATGAACCTGTCAGAGTTACTATTGATTGTTTTTTTAATTTTTGGTAGATTCTATTAATTATTTTTAACAGTTGAAAAGCCGAAATGCTATATATTTGTTCTTTTAAATACGAAAAGTGCATGGCTCAAAGGGAAACCAAGGAAAACATGGAACCTTTTGTTTATTAAAGGATCACCACGGGTCGTAAACAAACAAGATTTCCTGCATGGTTACTGCGCTAAGCTTCAAAACCACCGAAACCTGAAACCAGCATGCCATTACATTCGGAAGGGCGATAACAACAAGGGTAAATGCCACTCTTAAAAAACTAATTTTGAATCGACATTATTCAACCACCCCTTCTGATTTTGTATATACATCGGAAATAAAATTTTATTAGACGCTAGCAAAAGAGCTGTGTTGTATAGAATAATTTATTTAACTGAAACTTACTTACCTCAAATCAAAAAGAACACCTTGATTGACAAATATTTGCTTGTAATTCAACATACTAACCAAACGAATCTGTCTTAATATATATTTGGTTTTTCAAAAAGATTATGATAATTGAATACTTTCGCAAAGCATTACTTCACAAAAATTTTGTGTAAGGGTTTTTTTGAGAGACGGATGAATGTCAATCAAGCAACAAGTGAATTATAAAAAATTACATGGACTCCTAGTCATAAGAACGCTAACAACAGTGTTCAATCTTTGGCCACCAATCGCACATACTTGTTCTCAACTGCAAATCTGGAGCTGGAATTGATCTGACAGCACAAAATTTTCATAAGAAAACCCATAGTAATTTTTTTAAGGCAAATAAACAGAAACACAATCCATTAGATAGGCGTACCTTGTGCTGAAGTGCCTCACTTAATTCAGTTTCATCCACTACAATGCCAGATTCCAGCAGTGCTGTGAGGACAACTTTCCTGAGTTTCTTCATCTTCAAAATTCCATCAGGATGCTACCACAAGCAAAAAAGTAAGCACATTTAAGTGCAGTTCAGATATTAGATGTATAGACCACATTCAAAAATACAAATTTATAGCAAACTCATTATAGATGCCACTAAAGAAGCTAGAGTTAAGTCCATCTTAAGAGTCATTTATATGACCATCCCATGCTCATAGTATACAGATAAGTATAATATCAGATAAATTAAGCACAAAATAAAAAAGGATGTCATTCCAAAATTCAATGCACATACAGATTTCAAGGCCGATTTGATAAACTTCTTCCATTTTATTTTATTTTTTACTGCACTCGTACAGTGAGGTTCTACTATCCCTTCTTTCTTCGAATCGCTCTCTCCTGTTGCTTCTGCTTCTTCACCCTGAATTACTTCCCCATTTCCCATGTCAACTGAAGTGTCATTCCTGCTTTTTTTAACAAGGTCATCCTCCAAGGCTCCAAGTTTTCTCTTTTTCTTTGCTGAAGAAATTTCACTTCCTGATTTCAAGTTATTTTGTTTAGAAGACTCTTGCAATCTTAGCTGCTCTGCATTTTCGTCATCTCCCTCCTCATTATTAGGAACAGTCTCCATCGCAACCTTAGCATCAGGGGCAGATATGTTGGTCTCGCCAGGTTGTTGCTTTGAAGCATGGAATGCTCGGGCTTTTGCCTTGTGTTTCTTTCCATCAGCATGGAGAAGCAGTGTTTGCTTACTTGTAGCTTTCGTATTGCAAAGACTGCAAAGCCACAAATAAGTATAGCATAATGAGTCAGACACAACCACAAGGGTGACACAAAATATAAGAAAATTCTTCCTTGATGAAGTTTCTGGGCACCAAGACCTAGCACAGTTCATCTCCCACTTTTACTGTAACATACTTTTTAAAATTATTCAGACTTTCAGATAATAAGCTGTTTTCAGCAGTTGATACTTATATTCTTATAAGTTCAAAATCTAAAAGCTTTAAAAAAGAGAAAAGTTAAAAAAAAAAAAAGAGAGAGTAAATAACATGCACCATATTCATGCAAAATAGATGAAACCAATTAATAACAATGATGTTCTGAAATTTACTAGCATACACACTTCTAAGATTTTATACCAAAAGAGACTTGCAGGCCACAAGTCAGTTAACATTAATATCATTAGCAGCTGAAAGTATCCTATTAGGCAGAATATATGATTTTACAAAAACTAAGGTGCAGATATATGATTTTACACTAAACTTATATGTCAAACCTGCCCCCCTGCATACTTTCAACAGTAACAAAAGGCACATTCTGCACATTCAACTTAGTACCCTTGAACTTTCTACGAAAGGCTCAACTAATTTTTACATCCTGTGTTTACACAACATAAAGATAAAAGGTTTAAACTATGACCTTGATGATTCCATGCACCATCAGAAATAATAAGAAGACTCAAATGCAAGGGACATGGAGTAGGGACCTAGAAGTCAAATTCCCATCCAAACAGGACATGAAGACCATAATTGTTATGTTTCTCTCTTCTAACATTTAAAACATATGACGCAACACCTTGATTGACATTTACTCTTTAATGTGAATACATTGACTTGGACCAGTGACTACCATGGTATTAGAAAGTGTAACTAATAGAGTTTATACCTACAGAACCATGGAGGCCGTTCAGATAACCCCACATTAATATCAACTTCAGGCCTTTGCTTGCTATCCTTGTTAGGCTTGGCAGTTGAAACATTCAAAGTTTTGCCTTGGCCTTTTGGACCATACTTTTCCTAGAAATCAAAGTAAAAAATAGGCAACAGGGGAAATAAGATTGATATATATTTTTAAAACTTAAACGAAAATTCAATATGCTGATAAAAATAAAGGTTAGCCACACAAAATACAATGTAGTCAAACTAAATGCCAATCAGTAGAAATAAGTAGAAGAACTTAAAGTTAAGAATCTCAACTTCAACTGCGAGGAAGGACAAATATGATAGGAAGAAGAATGATAAAACATCAGTGAAAGGAAACAATCAACAATCTCAAAAGTAGGACGATACATTAAGAAGAAAGTGAGAATGAGAGAACGCACCGCTTCTGTAATACACTGTGTGTGTTCCTGAACGGTGTCACGCCCAAATATTTGCCCACAGTCAATGCACGACAACTGCTTAACATAAATCAACAAAGAAAAACAAAAATATGCATTGCATCAACTTCATTCGCATGTATCCGTGAAATTCAAAAAAGCAAATGAAATTGCTATTGTGATCGAGAATTAGTTATATGTTGGATTGAATAAGAACCTTGTGAGCGGAGCAAGTTCGGAAGTGACTCGACAACTTGGGCTTTTTGAGGTTGTCTCCACAATCTTCACATTGAAACCAAACCATATCTGTGTTTTAACTTTAAGGTTGATTTGTTACCCAGAAGAAAAGAGAAGAGAGCGATGGTTTTGTTTTGTTACGCAACTCACGTTAACCTAATTAGCATTTACGCCTTCAAGAGGGCTTGCGCGGCTAGGGTTTTCCGTTTTGCTCTAACGAAACGAACCCCGACTCTACTCTTTGTCATGGATCTAACCTAGTTAGTAGCTACCATGGAAATTTTTTTATTTTCATTTTTTCTTATTTTTAACCTTCAATTTTTCCTCCTCCTTTTTTTCACTATCTTGAAGATTACCAAAATAAAACAAACAAATTAAAAAAATAAATGCTTTAACATAATTATATTATATGAAAAAATCCTAATTATTTGTGATCATATCAACTATGATAGTTTTGTTATTCTTTATCTTAATATTTTTTCTCTCATCCCTTTAACAGTTAATTTGTCCATGAATCCTTATAATCCTTTCACATTATAATATCGATTTGAATATCTACTTTTAGAAGCTAAAAAAAAAGTCAAAAAAATAGAAGTCAAAAATAAAATATTTAAAAAAAAAATCTATATATTTCTATTTTTTATAAAAAACACTTTTAAAATAAGTAAGGTATAAAAAAATATTTTTTTGAGAAGCCCATGCAAACTTGCAGTTGATCTCATTGGTGGAAAAAAAATAGCTTTTATAAGCTATCTCTTGTGCATTATATCTATTTATGTGCTACGCTTTCTAATATTTAGCAAAGAATCGGTGTTTGTCCCTTAACTATTAGCTATCAACGTGGCAGTACAATTCTAAATTGTTGATATCATAACTACAAGCTATGTAGCACCAATACGACACGCGACGCGTGATACGATACGACACTCCGACACGTCAATCCTAAAAAATTATGGATTTCGACACGTTGGGACACGTTTTAATATTAAATAATATTTTAAATTTATATATGGTATATTTCATTTAATATTTAATAATTTAACAAAAAAATAAAATTAAATTAGTAATACCCATCAACACGTTATAAAGATGGAAGCTTTAATAAAATAAATAAGAAATGGGATGAGAGATATATATAATATCAGATAGATAGATCAAATCATATTAGAGAGAGATCAGAGAGAAGAAGATACAACAAGAGCGTGATAGGAATTGACAACAATGATGCTGAGATGATCTCTTATCTACTTAAGGGGAAAAAAGACAAAAAGATAAAATTAATATGATCAGGTGGAAGCTTTATTAATATATTTTAACTTTTAAAAAAAATAAATTTTTTAGACAAAATTAAAAAAAAAATTAAAAAAATTAAAAAAATTACGAAAATGCCATTTGACCGTGTCGGACACGGTCAAATTCGCGTGTCGGAATGGTCAATGTGTCGGAAAAAGTCAACCGCGTGTCCGACAGCGTGTCGGAGCGTGTCGCCGTGTCGGAGCGTGTCGGACCCGACTCTTCCTGTTTTTACAAGTGTCTGTGCTTCCTTGACTATAAGCATGCGGGATGACACAGAGAGTGTTTGGTACAGTAAAAAATTTTATTTGTCTGAGAATCTCAATTTTTAAAAATATGATTTTTACATTCAGTTTATCATAATATCTGAAAATTTAAAATTTTAAAAAATTCAATTTTTCGAGAATCCAAAAAAAATCCGTGTACCAAGCGGCGTAAACGTGTTTTCTTAGCCTTTTTAAAGTTTTGGTTATTGCACCTCTTGAACTATTTATATGTGCGGTCTTATGTCCCGGATCGGATAGGTCCACGTCACATAAATAAATAAATAAATAAAATGTTCAAGACGCATCATGCAAGGAAACTATGTGAATGGGCCTAGGCAGCAAAAGGAGAAAGGCCCAAGTCAGCGTTCAAAACCTCTGGTTGAAGTTGGGGAAACAGCAGTGACGAGAGAAGGCACTTTGTAATTACAATGAAACTTGCAGGAATCAAATCCGTTGAGGCGCACGACGATTCGGTGTGGGCTGTGACATGGGTTCCCGCAACCGCTACCCGATCTGCACTCCTCCTTACTGGTTCCCTCGACGAGACCGTTAGGCTGTGGAGGTCCGACGAACTTGTTTTGGAGAGCACCAACACCGGCCACTGCCTCGGCGTCGCTTCCGTCGCCGCTCACCCCCTCGGTTCAATTGCAGCTTCCTCTTCCCTCGATAGCTTTGTTCGGGTCTTCGACGTCGATTCCAATGCCACCGTCGCCACCCTCGAGGCCCCACCCTCTGAAGTCTGGCAAATGCGTTTCGATCCTAAGGTGATGTGTGGCTTTTTTTTTTTTTTAATCTTTTTAGCTTTTTTAGAGAACATGGAAAGATTAAACAACACGTGTTGGTCTTGAAATTTTAGAGAATTTTAGAATTTAGGTTTAACTGAATTGTCTAACTGGTTGCACCTAGTGCCACTCCCTTTTCAACATGTGTTTCTATAACCTTTCTTGCTTACTAGCTGAAGAATAAACCAAAAAACTAAATAATCTTGCATTTTTTGTTTTGGAAGTGATTAATTCTCATGTTAAAGATCGTAGAGAACTGCCAATGACGTATCTTTTGTGAACCCTAAGCTAAATCAGGACTCAACGAATTTATAATCTAAATGCTTGCTGCATTGATTTGTTACATACTTGTTATTTTTAGATCAACTGTTGTGTTAAAGACTTGATAGGAAGAGCTTTGTTGCCTTGTGGTTATGCTGGCTCGACCGGATTGGTGGATTAATTGATGAATTGGGAAAAATCTCAAAAAAAAGACAAAAAAAAAACCATAAACTCGTAAATTCTTAATAAACATGTAATATTTGTATTCTTGTATAAATGCATCTATTTTTGGAGAAAGGGATTAGTTTTCGACCTGTCCAGTGTCCACTTTTTAACGTCTTTTGTGGGGATGCGCTTAATAAGACTAAAACAAGTTGAAACTGCCGTTAACTGAAAGCATTTTTTATTAATTTTTTCTTGTGATAGCCATGGTTTCACAATTGTAGCATACGTATTGAAATTTCCTTTTTTTTGTTTTTTTTTGGCTGCGTAGATGCAAGGGCAATTTTACATGCTTAAAATCTACATTACATGAATTTGATTGGTTAATTTTTATTTTTTTTTGATAACATGATTGGTTAATTTTAACATTTGCTTCTTTATCATTTATCCTGATCAAATGCGAGTTTGTAACCATGTTTCTTTTCTGCAATTATATATATACATCTTCAGTTCCCTTACCTTTTTTCTCCTGTCTAAGACCACTATCATATTCAATGATGCAGAGTTTCTGTAATTTGGCCATTCACGATTATTCTGAGATTTGTAAATGTTTGATTCTGCAATCATGTTAACTATTCTTCAAAGTACATCTTTTCCAACTCTACTTGATACTTTGAGTTTCTCATGTTCAGATACTTGGTATTTAATATTTTAGCATTTCATTTCCTTTTCTTTCTCCCTTGCTTAGGTTCATTAGGTACACCCTTAAAAATGGGGTGAAAAATTCAGGGATGGGTCCTGCGTGAAAAAATTGTATGAGAAAACTCACCCACATATTTTTCACAAACATTCTTTGAGGATGTATCAAACTAACTATAAGCATGAAAACTCAGTCTCAGAATAGCTCATATGTTACGTACAAGGATTTATTCAATTCCTCAATTCTTGCACTATAAGCTACTTGAACTATTTAATACATTGTTCTGTTGTCTCACTTAATATGTGCTCTTTTATGAAAATATTACATGTTCCTCTACGAATTTGCAGTATAGCAGAAATCATTCATTGCCTTGATGCCTTGTGATATACTATTAAATATGAACATTTTATCTATCCCTTTAACTATACAATAGTTATTTAATCAACAAAAGTTTTCTACCTTCAGGGTGCCATTCTAGCAGTTGCTGGCGGAGGTAGTGCATCAGTCAAGCTTTGGGACACTACCACATGGGATCTTATTGAAACTCTATCAATTCCTCGTCCAGAAGGACCCAAACCTACAGACAAAAGTAGCAGCAAGAAATTTGTCCTGTCAGTTGCATGGAGCCCTGATGGGAAACGACTTGCTTGTGGCTCAATGGATGGCACCATTTCTGTTTTTGATGTACCACGTGCCAGATTTTTACATCACCTTGAAGGCCACTGCATGCCTGTGCGATCTCTTGTTTATTCTCCTTATGATCCAAGACTACTGTTTTCAGCTTCAGACGATGGTAATGTCCACATGTATGATGCTGACGGGAAGGCTTTAGTTGGGACCATGTCAGGTCATGCTAGTTGGGTATTATGTGTGGATGTGAGCCCTGATGGGGCGGCCATTGCCACTGGTTCAAGTGATAGAACTGTAAGGCTGTGGGATCTTAACATGAGGGCGTCTGTGCAGACTATGAGCAACCATACAGACCAGGTATGGGGAGTGGCATTTAGACCACCCGGAGGTAATGATGTGCGAAGTGGACGGCTTGCTAGTGTATCGGATGATAAGAGCATATCACTGTATGATTATTCCTGATTTAGATATTGCAAGGAATGAGGACACGCTGTATTTGTACTTTTTTTGGAATGTTATTAATTTGTCAATGCTTTCTCTGCAAATTGAGTTGAAGAAAATGTTTGGTTGTGCGTGCTGTATCTGTTATTCTGTATCCTTTGTTCATGATTTGTTCCTAGTCATTGCGTTCCAAGAATTAAATTTTTATTGCCAATTACCGATGTTGGATAAAACCGCTAAAATGGATGTGATCGTGCACGAATCAGCCAGGTTTGTCTTGAAACGTAATCAGTCCGCGACTCTGCGCGACAATTATATTTGGGTATGCTATTATTATTCCTGAACAAAACTTGTGTCTTAAACCGTTGACTTGGACCACGAAGATTGCAGGTTACCGTGCACAACAAAATTGCTTGCCGACAGTACATTGCTTAAATATGAGTTCGCTTTTTCTACAGTCAATAACTTATCTACAGTAAGTTCAAAACGACATCGTTTTGAGACAGAATTATAATTATAATTTATAATTTATTTCAGAATTATAATAGTGTTTTTCATTATAATTTTTTAATTTTTCAGTGCAAAACGTCATTTTGAAAGCGAATGTAGATAACTTATCTACGTTCACTTTAGAAACATTAAAGCCTAAATATATATAGTATTAGTTATTTGTTTTGGTATTAGTTATTTATGTCATTTTATAGATACAAAAATGTGAGATTCACATATTAATTTTATTTGTCTTTAATTTTTTTTAGTGAAATTCACATATTTTTGTGTCTATGAAATGATATAACTTGTGTCATTTAAAACGACACATTAATTTTTCTTAGTTATAAAGCCAGACGTACGGAAAAAGTATAAAATGTAAGGTCGAGAATGTAGATTTGACCTTTTAAGAGCACGAGCGAATCAACTTTATCTCAACGTTTCATAGTTGTATCATCCAATTCCCACCCTCAGATTATTATCGTATAAAACTTTCGCAGTCAAATATAGCATGATCATGCGGGCTGTAGAAGAATGATTTTTCAGGTGGAGACCGTTTCCTGTAAAACAAAAAAAAAGCTACACAAAGCGTGGGATGGAGCAGGGGGAAACATGAACTCAAAATCCATTCCACATGATCTTACATGATTCCATTACCTCTTTAAAAAAAAAAAAAGCCACTTTTGTTCATTCCACGCTAAGATACAACAATAGCTTCATGGTTCATTTGAGACGAACACACTCAAAACAAATCATATCAAATCTGTTGTGCAAGTAACCAGCAACTACTATACACAGTTATTCAGGTAGTATTTTTCTTGACGTTTACTTGTTAGAAACATAGAAAGTCTTCATGAAGTTCCATTGTCAGCAGTGAGCTTATATAACATGTTAGCAAAGAGGACCGGAACCCACAAGTAGATTATTCAAACCCTCAAATAATTTAACAAATTGTACAAAACTTATGATCGAAAGTAAACACAAACTTCTTAAAGCATGAGAGCACACATGCTGAACTTACTTGCAAGTGGCAACCTTTACTTGTACTTGGGGGCCTTACTCAATAAAAAATCCTTCAGCACATCCATGACAGATCCAAAATCCGCCTTCACTGAAACGAGTGGGTTGGCAAACCGACCCATTCCAGGGATAGATCCCGAGTGATAATCAATCTTACTCTGTGTAAACTTCAACCCATGTGCAGTGCTCACCACAACAACTCTATCACTAGGTCCTATAACCCCAGAATTCCTAAGCTTGATGAGAGCCGTCAAAGCCACCCCAGTATGTGGACATATGAACATGCCTGTGGAATCAGCTTGAGCCATTGCATCCATCAGTTCCTCCTCAGTTGCTTCCTCAACAATCCCATCCGAATGCTTCAGAGCATACACAGCTCTATCTATAGAAACAGGGTCACCAATCTGTATAGCAGAAGCAAAAGTGGAGTTAGCCTTCACAGGCTGAAACTCTTTCCACCCCGTCTTGTAATACAAGTACAAAGGGTTTGCATTAGCAGCCTGAGCACAAACAAGCCTTGGAATCTTATCCACAAGCCCCAAATCCTGGCACATTTTGAACCCTTTGTAAAAAGCATAAATATTTCCAAGGTTCCCACCAGGAACAACGACCCAATCAGGAACCTCCCAATTAAACTGCTGCAGAATCTCAATAGCAGCAGTTTTCTGTCCCTCAAGCCTCAAACTATTCAGCGAATTGGCCAAATAAATAGGCAATTCAGAAGTGATCTCCCTAATTAGCTTCATGCAGCCATCAAAATCGGTGTCAATGCTCAACACCAATGCCCCATTTGAAACGGGTTGAATCAGCTGTGCAGTGGAGATCTTATTTGCGGGAAGGAACACAATAGATGGAATCCCCGCCGAAGCACAATAGGCAGATAGTGCAGCCGAGGTGTCCCCGGTCGACGCACAACCAACTCCGAAGACCGGCCGGTTCATCTTGCGAAGCCGGTTCACTTGGCTCACCAGAACCGTCATTCCCAGATCCTTAAAACTACCCGTGTGGCTAATCCCACAGTGTTTCACCCATAAATCATTCATGCCCACGAACTGTTTGCCAAAACGCTCAGCCCAGAAAAGATTAGAGTTACCTTCGAAGGCGCTTACGATGTGGTCTGGGTCTATCTCCGGTAGGACCCACTCCTTCTTGCTCCACACGCCGGAACCGTAGGGCCATGTTGTCTTCCCAACACGCGAGTCGAATAGAGACCTCCAGTATTCGCCGGAGAACCTCTTGAGAGCTACCATATCGTGCTGGACGTCGAGGAGGCCGCCGGAGTTGCTCCGGTAGACGATTTCGTCGAGGGAATAGGATTCAGAGGAATCAAAACCGGCGTTGAAGGGGACATACTTAGCAGTGAAGTTGTGGGCGGCGGAGGGATGGCGGCGAGCCTCGTCCTTGATGTTATCGGTGGTTCGACGGTGGTAATCATTGGGTGGCAGAGGAGAGTGGTTGTTGGTGATGGAAGAAGAGGAGGTGCATCTTACTATAACGAAGACAGAGCGTTTATTTGTGTGGATTGAATCGATGGGTTTTGGTTTTGTTTTTGGAGTGAGGGTGGAGAAAGACGGATTCAACAGAGAAGACAGCATTTTTCTTTTTCTTTTCTTCCTTTCGATTGAGGATTACGAAAGAGAATGGGATGTGGAAAAGGGTTATTGTTATGGGAAAAGTGTTTGTTATTTTTCTTTCTTTCTTTTTTTAACTGTTTATTGTTATTTATCTGAAAAGGAGTTTCATGGAGAATCAAACTCAGATTAAAGGGATAAAGTAGAGGGAGAGAGTGTAACCAGATCAAAGGGGTAACGCACGTGCGGTTGCTAACGTTAAACATTCAAATTATCAATCAAAACTTATGATTCATACGTGCGATAAGTTATTTTATCTATTTATTTTATTTATTTTTTACTTTTACTTATCATTCTCCGTTACGTTAGATTAGAATCTTAATTAATATTTATCTTTCTCTGTATGATATAACAAGATTGGAAAATGGTAGACAAATGTAGGCAATACGTAGGATAATCTATTCCTTCAAACATTTTTAAATAATATAAGCATATGTCGTTTAACCGTTTATAATTATGTCTTTTGAGAAATATTTTGGGACAAGTTATTCTACTTACTATTTTTTTTACCTATTTCTGCCTACCACTCTTCAATACTATTAGATCATAATTTCAATAAGAGAGATAAATGATATAGGTAGTTGAAATTCTGATCTAACAGTATTGGAGAGTGATAGGCAAAGATAGGCAGAAAAATAGGTAGGTATAATAACTCTTTCCATATATTTTAGGATTTTTTTTTTCTAAAATCACTTTTGGATAATTTTATCTTTGTAATTTTAATTTATTTTATGATTATAATAATCTTTATCATTCTAATTTTTTAATCTCAAAACGACTTCGTTTCGGTGAATACTAAATAAATTTGTCTAAAGTAACATTAGATACTTTTTTTCCCATATGAAAGTTAATTTTTTTCTCTCTCCATGTAAGCCGACAAGTTAATGAAGAGAAAAAAATAACTTTAATATTATAATTACGAAGAAGAAGGTTATATTTAGAATTTATTTTTGGCTTTAATGTTTCTAAAGTGAATGTAGATAAGTTATCTACATTCGCTCCCAAAACGACGTCGTTTTGGATTGAAAAATTAAAAAATTATAACGAAAATGACTATTATAACCCTGAAATAAATTATAATTAAAAAAATATCTTGATTTTTGCCTCAAAACGACGTCGTTTTGGGCTCAATGTAAATAAGTTTTTTTTTTTGTGGAATGTAGATAAGTTATCTACATTGACTGTAGAAAAAATGAACCTTTTTTTTTATAACATTTTACAACCATATCTTAACTGTTAAATTCTATCAATCTATCGATTATAATTTATTTGGTCATATTTATTAATTAGTTATTATTCTCAATAAATTATAACACTCAAATTGACAGAATTCAACGATTAAGATGTGGTTGTAAAATTTTATAAACGAAAATAAGTTGTAAGTATATTTTTTCTTTATAATTATATATTACATAGTTATAAGGGGATAAAAAGATATAAGCGTTTTACCAACAACAACAAAAATATGAGCTTATGTCCTTTAAAAGATCAAATAATTTTTCCTTCAAATATTTAATTATTAATTAATGATATGTTAATATCTTTTTGAATATCTTCAATGAGAAATATATCTTTGCGTGAAATAATTTTATCTCGTACAAAAAAAAAAGGTGGAACCCATTTTTTCTCTCTCTTTTCCTTGATGAGTCTCGTCATTTTTGTGGACTGCATGAAATGATTTTGTCTCATATAATAAGAGAAACATATTACCCATATGTAATTCTTTAAAAGATTACGTTAATATCAATTTAGTTTTTACAAATACGCTAGACTAGAGCACAATAAAACAGAATACATAAGCTTTATCCATGCACCAAACGTCACCTAAAACATATTTGATATTATAAAATTGATCATCTCATGTCTTGAATAATATGATTATGGCATATGAGAATATCTCAGTCATTAATGTACAAATTAATGGAAATAATTTTGTAACTTTTAATTTTGATTATGATCTTCTTACATAATATGATGGTATAATGTTAAATTACACGTAACAGGACCCATTTTCTCGATATTAATTTATTTTAAAAAAATAATTTAAATTTAATCACTAAAAAGGACTTTAGTTTTAGTTTTTAAGTCTCACGGTTTATAAATAAAATAATAATTTGGAGACATTTAATATGATTAAATAGTGAAAATAATATTACTTATTCATTAAAAACTAAAGTAATGTCAACTGATTTTGAGGATGAAAATAGATATTTATTTTATTAATAAATAAATAAATATATGCTAATAGTTTTTTTTTTGGAAATATTCCAATCGGTTTATTGCTTGGCAACTAATCCGATTCGGGACGGGTCCATGATTAAGGCTTTAAACCTCTTCCAAAAGTGATACGGGGAGATTCAAACACATGCTCTCATCCCCACCTGAGCTACCACCATTTGGTCTAATATTTTTTATTTATTTTTTAATCGACCAAGTTGAGTTAGTAGGAACAGTGACCATTTTGCCACGTTTGAACAAAAAAATTACCAGACTGTCACGCCAACAGTAAATTTTGCCAAATAATCCGCTACACAGTGTAGCAAATTATGCATGCAAGTAATTCGCTACACAGTGTAGCGAAATATGTCACGTCAGAACCAAAAATGCCACATGTCAAATTTAATTTCTCAAAATTTGACATGTGACATTTTTGGTTCTGTGCATTCTGACGTGGCATATTTCGCTACATTGTGTAGCGAATTACTTGCAAGCATAATTCGCTACACTGTGTAGCGAATTATGCCGCGTGATATTTTAACAAAATTTACTGTTGACGTAACAGTCTGATAATTTTTTTATCTAAATATGACAAAATGATCACCATTTCCCGTGAGCCCACGATGACAACGTGTGTGGTAGTAAATCATTAGTAGATGACTTTATAAGGCTATGCTTGACCGTGAGATATTGGGGACAGGGGACTAGTGCTGATGTGAGTGAGGTTGGAAGACTTCCGTGCTGCAATAAGAAGCAATGGTTAAACTATTTAAAAGAGGGACTCTCTAGTTATTGGAGAAAGTCAAACTGCAACTTCATGAACATAACTTTCAAGTTCTAATGTTGTTTTCTACTCCCTTGACCACAGCGTTTGGGAAGGGCAACATTCCTCGGATTACATCACATTTATTTGTTACAATTTGATCTTTCAGTTTGAATAAAGTTCATATACAAATTAATTTTTTCCCTAAAATATTAGATTGTCATGGTTTTCTTCAAAGAAAAAATAAAGGAAAACAAAAGGCAACTTATACCCAGTGGGAAAAAAATAGTTATTTTTCTTTTTTGTAAGTAAAAATAGTAAATATTAGGCGCACGTGCGAGAAGGTTTGAAAAGTTTTCAACAGGGTGGAACGGTGGATTGATTAGCTGGCACACAGGTGGTAGGGCCTTCGCTTAAGAGAAAAGATCTAAACGTTTACAATGTGATGCAATTTTGGTGTGAAATAAATTCTCATAATGAGATGGATCTCCGTACTCTGATGTGAAAATTCGTCAACATGTCATACAGGGAATCATAACTATACAAAAGTGGATCAATGATAAAAAAGAATGAGAGAAAAAAAAATGATAAAATAGGTAATTACGAAATCATAACCATTGATTTACTTTTGTATAATTGTGATCTTCTCACATTACGATATCATGTTTTTTTGACACATCAAAGTATCCATTTCCAAGAACATTTCACCATCCATGAGATTGGGGTTTTAAAATCATATATGATGATTTGATGTTACACAAAATATTAATCACTAAATATATCAAGACAAGTCTCTATTTCTAGGCGATGATTGTATTGTATTGAGTCAATTACAAATGAATCCCTAAATTAAATTAGTGGGTTTTAAAGCTTTTTTAATGCAGGATAATATTAGCTTATTTTTCACAGAACTAAAAGCCACAGTAAATAATAACTCACGCTAATTATTAAAAAACTTAAATATTTTAGTTCATCATCCAATACTTGTTGAATGCTTTTTTTTCGTTAGTTTACAGGATCACTTTTTCACCTATTTGATTATATTTTTTTTAAGCCTCTTTCATTCTCTTTGAATTTGAATGATTTCTTGTATGTTTTTTTATATACTGTTACAGTTGTTATGATTTTAATCATAATTTAAAAAATGACTTTATGTCTCGTCCACAATATTTGCATGTAACATTGTGTAGCAAAGTAATGGTAACTGGATCTAAGAAGAAAGTAAGAATATTAGAAGGAGATATTCTTACTATAAAATAATTATTATTTATTTAATTACTATTATCAGTATTTTTTTTTTCAATATTTTCTCAATATTTTTTCTTTCTAATCCAATAGTGATTAGATAGATAATGAGTTGATACTGAATTTTTTTTTTTTGTAATAAGAATATATTTCCATCAAAATACAATATCAACAACCATGATAATTAAAATTTTGATAACAATCAAATAAAGTGAGGAGACACGTGTATATTAAATATTGCTTAAGGGGATGACAAAATCATTATATTTTTTGTATTTTGAAAATGAGATAATCTTTAACAATATATTTTTTCGAAGACATGTTGTTAGTTTTTGTCTATAAATTTTATGTGGTTAAATTATAATTTAAGTACGAATATCCCTGTATCACAATCAAAAACAATTATATCGTATTTACAAAAAAAAAAAAAAAACAATTATATCGTTGACAAATATGTTACGTATTCTGATAGTTTAAATTCAATTACGAACTCAATTTAAATTTCTAAGAAAATTACTATCAGAAATAAATATTACCACTTTGCCCTCATACAAAAATATAACACCAATTTATTCTTATTTGACCGTTGACCGATTTATGTATTTGAGTATAGAAGGTTGATACTCGAATATATTGCGTGAAACAGAAAATACTCAAGTACACAAGTTGACATATTCGAATATTATTCGTGATTTAGATTTTTATGAACATTTACTCGAGTACATGGGTGGTGTACTCGAGTAAATATTCATAAAAACTCAGATCACGAATAATGATCAAGTATTCAGCCAAATCACAAGCAATACTCGTAATATTAGACTTAACTCGTGTGATATGAAGAGGG